AGTGGAACAACTTCATTAAACCTCTTCTTTTGAACTCAAACAAGATGAAATAAAGACATTACATACAAACGCTCTCAGATAACTACACCATGTTCAAAGTGTTTAGCGCTAGCATGTTACAAAATGCTTCAACCACTACATAGTACTCCACATTCAACAATAGCTACATGAAACAATTCAACATACTTTATTTGGTTAAATAAAAAAAATAAAAACAACTCCATCTAGCACAAAGACAAAGTAAATGCAGTAGCACTACCACTTGTTCTGGCTCTAGTCATTCATCCACAGGTTAACTCTCTTCTTTTCCCCTTGGTTGGCAGCATTCCTGGACCTCCCTCTCACATGCTATTCTTTGGGCTCAAACTAAACAAAAAAACAAACAACTCTTTTAAAGGTCAACATTCAAACTTTATGTGGCCTAAAAGTTGGGAAAAATAACTAAATCACACTAACAGTAAAACACACTTACCGGTTTAAAGATGGCTTCGTGGGTAATTCACTACGTAGTATTTGTTCTTTCCAGCCCCGATGTTCTCTGTAAAGATTTCACAATGTAAATGTTGTCCAAAAATTAAATTAAAAAAAAAAAAAAAAAAAAGAAAGAAAAAAGTTTTACTTGAAAAGCTCAGAAATGGCCAGGGCGACGTCGTTCACGTAACAGAAACCAGATGCTTCGAACTTCTTGGCGTCGTGGAGTCCACCGGTCTGCTGCTACACCTGAAAAGATTGACTTAATCAATTCCATACGTTCACGAGTGCGTGCACACACACGCCTAAATAACGAAAACATGTAAATGTGTACCCTCGTATTCTTTATGGACGTCTTATCGATACAATTCACTAAAAAGCGCAAGCACCGCTTTGAAGCAAACACCCCCCACGAACAAGCCGCTGTTTCACTAACACACGTGGCTAAAGTCGCAACACCCAAAATGTTAGGACCACTCAAACCAAACGGTACAATTGAATCACAAACTGACTGAAGCAGTCAGAATTAGTTAGAATGTGCAAACCGTGCGGCTCAAACAGGCTACTGTTTAGCACGCTAACCGGCTTCCCCACTCCGCGGTTCAACAGCTTACGGACGGTTAAAAATAAACCGTTCGTAAGCTCTGCGGAATACTGGTCCTTCACATGAAATGTTAATCGCTAAAGTGAAGAGAAAAAGAGATGGAAATACGTACCGTCGTAATAAGAACAAACCTTTTTTTTTTTTTCTCCGTGCCTTCACATTGCGCCTTGTTGCGACCATCACCCGAACGGAAAATATTACCACTTCCTTCCGGTTTTAAAGGGCACAGAGGCGCCTCGTTATCCAATCACAAGCGTCCTGCACGGTATCTGCAATCCACCAGGTGACAGTGCAGGCTCATTAATTTGTCAATGAGTAGACACACGATCACTGCAGACTAATGTCAGTGCTCTTACTGTCGAGAACTATGACATGGGCGCTCTAACTGGTAGCTCTCCTCTGGTTTTACGTAATAATTCATGGTTGGATTCAAATCTGCCTCAGATCTTAACTAGTCATATCGCCCTGTGAACTCAGTCACCTTCCCCATTCACTTAGCCATGTTAAGAAGACAGGCCTCAAACTACTGTTTATATATATATATATTTTAACTGTTTGAACCACTGTAAGGCACAATGAGTTTGCGTTGTGCATGGAATGTACTCTATAAATAAAAATGGAATTGAATTGAATATTAAAGAGTATATGCCCCTTTTTAACGACAACACTTATATCATTAATTCCATTCCAAAACATTATTCGTTTGGGTTTTTTTAACAAACATGGGCACATGTTCAGCAACAAACTTCAATCTAGAAAAAGGGTTGTTCATTTTTATTTTTTTATATTTTGATTTGTATACATTTAAGAGGAGGAGCTCCTGTAGGAGGAAGAGGCCCTTGGAGCAGGAGACCAGGTTTATGAAGATGACAGATCAGATCTGACTGAAGAAGAGGGAAACACAAATTCTCCAGGAACAAACTAAGACAGATGGAAATATACGACCTAAGGGGATGTCAAAAATGGACATTCAAT